AACTTGAAATTGGCCTAACTAGTTACAATAACATCGAGTTCAAGCTCGACTTCAAGTTCTAAATGACATAATAATGTACCGTCACTATAAAATTTTCTTTGAATTAATTTGAGCACAATATATTCGAAGTCAATAAAAACAAGAGCATAAAATATATTTACAAACAAGAGCATGAAGTATATTTTACAAACAACTGCTAACGAAGAGAAGAGTTTTGAGCATGAAAATTTGATCAGAATTTTAAATTATTTTGAAACAACTTAAATGAATGAATGAATATTACTTCTCTTTAAAAGAGCATGAATCAAAGGTATTTTCAAATTTTAATTGGTTCTACTGTATCACCAGAATCATTGTAAATTTAGTTTTAAATTTTGTTCAATTCGTCTAAGCTAAGATTTTGAATTCCTTACAATGAAAAGGAGTAAGAAAAACAAAGAAGAGTAATAGAATGTTTAGCACAGGAAAAGAAAGGGAAATAAATTGAAGAAGGCGGGACAGACGGGAATACGATTTTAAGAATAACATGATTTGAAATATGGCTGTTACATATTTTATTATTTGTTAAGGTTTGTCCATTTAGTACAGTAAAAATTTACTTTTAATTCTTTATTTTAATAAATTTATAAGTTTTACCTCATCTTCATATTATAATACTTTTAGTCTTTCACTTTTACGAATCGAAGAATTTAACCTTTTATCTTTACAAATTGAAAAAAAAAATAGTTTTTACTTAATGTCAAGTTACAATGTTTGTCAGTTAACTGTTAATATTCTATTAACTCTATTTTTGTCACCGTTAATAATCAGCTAACAAAACGTTATAATCCATGTTAAATAAAGGATATTTTCTTCAATTCATATATGTAAGAGGATAAAAATACTATAATATAAATTGAGAAATTAAAACTTACAAACTTATTAAAGTAAATTATTAAAAATAGATTTTTATCAATTTATTCATTAATGATATAGATTAAATTTTATTAATTATAATATTTATAATTAATAAAATTTAATTGGTAGTCTAAAAGTACATATTAAGAAAATTTTATTTGTTAATATATGAAATACTTATGGCCAACCATTCAGCCTATAAACGGCTAGCATTCAATGACTTTATTAGTTAGATCAAAAACGGAAAAGGTAATTATGGCTAACTAATGTGGAGTTGGTGGTTACACTTCCCTTCGTCAAATAGGCAAATTTTAATGAAACATGTGAACCCTTCGGAGTATTATCCTCACTTCTTCTTTACGTTGGATTTAGTTTGTTTTTCTAGCTTTTATTATTTTATTCAAAATACTTTCATATCATTTCATACGATAATATTATTTTTTTAGCTGGCGAAGCCTCTTCAGGATTCTTTTTTTTTTACCGTCTATAATTTAAAGAGGGAGATTTTTTTTTAAATATTGATAAAAATCAAAATTTCAATCAACAAATTCAAACACTTTTAAAATTTGGAAGTAAATTGCTAGATTCGAAAGTTTAGTTCTAAGAAATTTCAGGTTTTTTTTTTAATAATTTTATAAGGGACTGGATTCAAACCGTTATCCGAGAAGATGGGAGATGCACTTAAACGTAACTTGATGTCATTGGCCTAAAAGCCTAAGTGCAAGACATTTTAGGTTTTTTTTTTTTTGAATAAATTTGTAAATGATCGAATTCAAATCGTTGCCTGAGAGAGAAATGCATAGGGGTGGCAATTTCCCTCGATCCCCGTGGGGTCTCACGGGGATTCCCGTTACGGGAACAAGACAGAAAAAAATATTCCTTCCCGCGAAGTGAGGATGGGAGGAATTTTCTCCTTGAGAAATTTCGCGAGGAATTTTTCCCTTCTCGTGAGGTTTCGTGGGAATTCTCATTCCTACGAAAAATTAAACAAATGTATATTTTAAATTTAATTTAACCTTTAAAATAAAATCCAAACCCAACCCCAACCTAAACCCAATTCAATAAAAATTAAATTTTACCCAACCCAACCCATCATCCTCCTTCCAACCCTAATTTCTTAACCTTATTATTTCCCTTTTTCCTCACTCACATAGCAGTGCAGCCATACCCCTCACTTCAGCCCCTCACTCCAGCCCCTCACTCCAGCCCCTCACTCACTCTCGGTCTTGGTCGGACAATCAAACTCTCACCTCACCTTCGACCTTCCCCTCCCCTTCTTGCTTCTATAATTTCTCCACTCACTCTCACGGTCTCACCTTCAATTTTTCTTTTTTGTTGATTTAATTATTTATGTTAAATTAATTTTTATATATATTTGATGTAAAAAATATATACTTTAATATTAATTGACGAGAAATAAGGATTCTCACGAGAATCCTCATTCCCTGTGAGCAATGGGGATGAAAGACAAAATTTACCTTTTGTCAAAAAAATCTTTATGAGGATCTCCATCCCCGCGAACTCTGACCTTACAAGATCTCGTTGACATCCTTATGCACTTTACGTGTGACTTAAGGTCACTG